GCAGCAACAATGAGAGTCGTCTTCTAAGACTAATAGGATGTTTTCTTATAACTAGATTGATTTCAGAATTAGGGAAGGTACAACCATCGGAACCTCTTAGCCACCCTACCAAATGCCGGTAATTATAGTGCAGATCCACCGAAATTAGCAAGAAGTCCTGGAGCCCTGCAGACATCAAAGATTTGTGGGCGATATTCCAAAAAAAATGAACCATTCCCAAGCTCTGGTTTGGTAGAGAGCAGAGGACTGTGATTCAGGAGTAGAGATGGGCACAGACCCCTGCTTTGGCGGTTCGTGCCAGTTTATTTAGCAGCAGAACGGGTGTTTGACACTTCAAAGCCCCACCTCCTCTAGCAGCCGCCCACTCTGGGGCAGCACCCAGAGGAGGGGAGGCAGGGAAGCCAGGCCGCTGTCTCTGAGTAGGTGCCCACTGGAGGAACAACTTTATTTTATTTATTTTATTTTATTTTTAACAAAAGATCTGGGATTCCAAGTGAGAGATTAACAAAAATTGTGCATTTCCCCCCATATTTCATCTAATCCAATTTCATTGGCTTTTTATTTTGTGGATGTTTGGAGGGTTCAACCCCCCCCTCAATTTCCTTTATTCTTATCTGGAATGCCTGGTGCTTGTCCTTCACCTGGTGGACTACTGCCTGCGCTGCTGGACTGAAGCGGAAATGGTATTTGGACAAACGCTGGCTCTATGGGTTGGATACGGAGATGAGCACCATCCCCTAGAGTTGGGCACGACTGGACAAATTGTCAAGGGGAACCTTTACCTTTACCTGAAATAACTCAAAAGAGGAGTTCCCCCAAAAGAACTTGAAATGAAAAAAAAAAAAACAGTAAAGTGTTCCCCTTCACATCCCTAGTGAGAGGAATTGTCCCTGGCCATTGACGTAGGTAAACACAAGCTATTTTCTCAGCTTTTCTGGTGTAAAGGTAAAACTTGCAAGGCATCCATGTTCAGGTAAGACACTGGCATCTCTCCTAAGAACTAATCAATGGGCAGCTCAGTTGCATCCAGAGAGGAGGCCGTTTGGATCATGTATACTTGCAGGTAAAAAATTGATGGGGAGACAGAGGAGTAGGGTCTATGTGACTCCAAATCCTGATTCACAGCTTGCTTGCTTTTTTTTTGTGGAGGGGTGAGAAAGCAAAATGTCTCTTTTGATGCTACAGCCAGATTAGTCTCGGCAGGATCCAGGCCTGATGAGGCCCCCTGGAATCTTCAAAGCTCAAATGCACCAGAAATTACATTTCATATAACAATACGGAATATGACTTTCAGTTACAAAAACGAATGTATTCACAGGCCTAGGTTTTACGAGCCAGAGCACATTAGCATTTTGCTGAGACCGATGGAAACCATTTCAGCATCGGATTTTGCTTTTGGGGTGTAATATGCCAGCGGCCTTGAAGTTGCTTATAACATATTTTGGGCTGAGCTGAAATGAGTTCATAACTTTGCTACGTGTTTAGTAGAATGTCAAGTCTGAAGGGGGGATTAAAGAAATATTGGTTGTAAGGAACACAAACAGAAAAAACCGAGAAGGAAATTATCAGCTGTATTGATTGTGGGGTTCCCGAGTGAACTCAGGAAATGTTGCCCTCACTCAGAGATAGGTTCACGATGATCATGGAGTCATTTCAGAGCAAGGGCAGAGGTCTTTGTTATTACTAGGACCCTCGTGGTTATGATAATCAGCAACAGGGTAGCCAGTATATGGACCATAAAAGTTTTTTTAAAAAAGATAGGGGGACAAGTTTTGGGAAAATGTACTCAATCTTAGATCACCAATTTTCAGCAAAAAAAAAAGTTTGGGAAATCCTTTTTGCCTCATTTCTTCATGGACTCTCTCTGCAAAACACCAGAAAATGGTGTTTGCTAGCCATGGGAGTTTCAAGACTGGATGGGTAGTGTGTTATCTGTCACAGATATTTTGTTGTGTTCTTCATACTGCTTGAAGCCATGAATCCTCTGGTTTTTCATGTTCCTTTTGCCCTCAACAGCGTAATATGGAGGAACTATTTTTTATTTGTTTTTAAGTAGACCTTCATGCCAAATTTGTTATATATGATAGGGTCAACCTAGAAGATAAGAGGCAGTGGAAGCTTACCACTTTTTTTTTTTTCGGATGTAGTCATTGTCATTGGTCAAAATGGAGAATAGTGCCAAGGAACCTGAATAAGACAGAAAGTTGGAAGAGCAACTTTAAAAACGACTAGAGAACATGCTGAAGACCCAAGATGTGCCAACTAGGCACCATGTCATCCATACTATAATATTCCCAGTTGTATGTACAGATGTAAAAATGGGGCAGAAATGTTGGCAGAAGGACTTAGTCAAACTATGATGCAGGAAGAGACCTTTGCAGATGCTATGAACTTCCAAAAAGATGACTGAGTAGGTTCTAGAGCAAATCAAGCTTGAACACTCTCTAGAAGGGGAGGAAAAGGCTTAACTGAAGTTAACTATGCTTTGGAAAGCAAGATTTACAGGAAAAGACAATAGAGCTAGAAAAAGTTGGAGGCAGTAGGAAAGAGAGGAAGGTCTTACTTAGTATGAATGGATTAAATAAAGGAACCCATAGTTTTCAAGTCCTGGTCAGGGCTGTTAGTGAGAGGATATTTTGAATGTCACCCATTAGAGTCAAGGTAAGCCTGAGACCAGTTGATGGCACAGAACAGATGTGCTGGAAGCCAAAGAATGGAAATTGCCTGAAAAGTAACTTTGCTTCTAGCAGTAGCTAGAGGTCCTTCCCTTTTTTTGAAAAAAATGGATAATTTGGGGATGTTAAACTGTGCAAGGGGGTCTTTAATATTTTAATAGATGACTCACAATTCCTGGAGGCCTCTTGAAACTGTGATTCATCTTTTTTTACTTGGGGGGGATAAGCATGGTCAGGGGGCATGAAAATAGTTTTGGGGGCTAAATATACAAATGAATCCTCCCAACCTTGTAGAAAAGAGAATGAGAAGAAAGCTTCTGCCATTCCCTCTCATGTGATCCATGGCTCCCCTCTGCCTAACAGTAGGGCCAGCTCCAGGAACAACAATACGCTAAAGCTGAGAGCAACCACTCCTGAAACATTGTTTTTAAGTCTCCCAGCAGCTGATGATGGCTCTTAGTGTACCGTTTTTGAAGTCATGAAGATTTTCAAAAGTGGCTCAGCTGTCACATTTGTGGCTTTTAAAACATGGAAACAATTGAGGGTTTTGTGTGTGTGTGTGTGGCTGGGGGGGTGGTAGTATGACAAAGTCGGAAATGGTGCATATAATAGATGGTTAGGTGAAAGGTACATGAGTAATAGTTTATTCCGGCTATTATCGAGCCCCATCTGGTGGTAGCATGGAAGAACTGATATTTAGGCTCATTTTGTGTGTGTTGCTTCTGTGTGGCTGTTACAGTTTAATCTCCTGGAATGGTTCATTTCGAGAGTTTGTGTTTGGTATGACACAAGTGGAAAGCCCCCATCAATGGGGTGATTTCAGGCTTGTTTAAATGTGAGCTGCAGATCCCAGGAACAAATGTAGATCCATTATGTTCCACATATGCAGAGAGAATTAATGGAGTGTGCTTGAATTTAAACCACAATTAGCAGTATATCAGTTAATTTCAGTGGTTAAAAGGGAAATGATGAATGAACTAAAAAAGATTCCTTTGATTGGTTCATAGCCCCATCTTTTAACTCTCAGTATTGCTTCCCTCATCCCTATGCTGACTCAAGTATCCGTTGAACAGGACAGCATTTGTAAAACAAATGGGAAGTGTAACATTTCATGGATCTGAAAACTTGAGCAGATGATTTTCCATCAGCCGTAGCAAATGGAACAAGGGGGGCTTGACATTTGTTCCCGTTTTGCCTGCAGGGTCTCTGGCTTCATTTCATCACAAAAGATTTAGAAGGCTGCTATGACAAACTTATAAACACTAGGAAACCCTTTTCTGTTTTCTTTTAGGGCATGTGTACACAATGAAGTGATTTGTAAGCTGGGATATCCACAGAAGTGTAAAGCGGAGAGCTGTTTACTGCAGCTGTATAACCACGATAAGCACATTGCTGGAGTGTGCATGCTTCCAGACCCAGGACAGAAATTTCAGCAGGTCTGGGGGAAAGCAAAAAGCTTACAGGAGCATGGAAAACAAACATACACACAAAAAAACCCCAACTCTAAAGGAAATTAGTAGTGAGGAAATGAAAAACAATTTGATGAGGACTTACCGGGCTAAATGTCTCCCTCTTGTGGGGGGTCAAGGAAAAGGAAGGGAGAGTGGAATCGAATAACAGAATCATAGAATAATAGAATAATTGAGTTGGAAAGGGCCTATAAAGCCATTGAGTCCAACTCCCTGCTCAATGCAGGAATCTAAATCAAAGCAGACATGACAGATGGTGGTCTAGTTTTCTCTTGAATGCCTCCAACGTCGGAGCGCTCACCACCTCTCCCTGAGATCCTTGGTTCCATTGTTGTACTGCTCTAGCAGTTAAGAAGTTTTTCCTAATGTTCAGCCTAAATCTGGCTTCCTGTAGCTTATTATGGGTCCTGGATTTTGGGATGGTCGAGAAGTGATCCCGTCCCTCCTCTGTATGATTCCCTTTCAAATGTTTGAAAAGTGTTGTCACTAGAAAAGGGTGCGGCTGTATCCTGAATAGATGCCCCTCCACTCTGCAATTCATTCCAGACTTATCCTGTGGTTTCCTAAAATGCGAGTGCTAATTGAAAGAAAAAACACAAACCCAATAACTCTTAAAGCAAAGAGATGTTGTGATGTCCAAACATTTTGAAGACAACTTGAAGGAAGAGGAAGGGAACAAACTGCATAATTTAATTTGACATATTTTACATTTTCAGCCTAGTGCATGACTTCGCCTTCATCACAATTAATAACTCATCTCGAACAAGAAGAAAACATTTTCAGCTTGCAGTTACATATTTTTCATTTTCAGCCTAGTGCTTGACTTATTTGCCGTCATCACAATTAATAACTCATCTCAAACAAGAAGAAAACATTTTCAGCTTGCAGTTTTACTCAGGGTGAGCACAAGATACATGTTATCATAGCAGTGCTAATTCCAACAACGAGGTCCTAATTCCCCATCTGGTCTTTCGTCCCCCAACGAGCTCTCCTAAGTATGAATGCCAGTAAAAAACAACAGTCTGAATGCTTGTTTCCAAAGCAGCGCATCACCTAAAAGCTACCAGATGGGCGCTTTAAGACTTAGAGAGTCTACAATGACCTAGTGGTGGTGGACGAGAGCACAGTGCTGACATCAATGTCCGATTCTTTCATGTGCGGATGCAAGTCTATGTAAATCCCCGATTCCTTACAGAGCTCCAACAGGGTATCAATGTTGCTCTGTGACAAACGAAGATACCTGTGCAAAGAAAATAAAAGGGGGAGAGGCTTTTAGGTCATTGTTATGAGCTAGGACAACAATTAGCAAAAACCTAGTGGCCCTTCTGCGCTGTTTAGGTTATGTTATTTCTCCTGCTAAAGTTACTGGCTATTTCCAAGACATCTCAGATGGACACGACAGCCATCAACAATTATGGAGGAGAAAGTAATTGGTATCCTATGCCGTCAAGTCAGGACCAATTTATGGCGACCCTAACAGGGTTGTCAAGGTAAATAAAATGTTTAAGGCGTGGCTTGACCAATTCCACTCACCCAGTGAGTTTCCCTGGTCGAGTGAGGATTCAGACCCTGTTCTCCAGAGTCCTAGTCCATCACTCTGTCCACTACACCACACTGGGAATCCAGGGAGAGTCATACATGATGCATCTCTGCACCTGTTCCTAAATAAACTCCATTCTTCTGTAAATGGTTTAGGTCTTGGCCCTTCTACATTTAATGGGCAACAGGTTGAGAAAAGAAAAGGACTGGAGTGCTGCAGTGAGGGATGGGTTGAGGGTGAGGAGTGAGGCTCAGGAGGAAGGAAAAGGTGTGTGTGAAATCCTCTGCAGAAGACATCCCTGTTGGAACATTTTGTGGCGTGCTCCATGCACTCCCTCTGTCTCTGAGGTTCCAACTTGTCAGACCATGGCACATGTGGACAAAACCCACAACTCCCATGCGCCAGGGTGTGTATATCTCTCTCTGTGTGGGGGCATTGGCATGGTTCAGGGGGAATCCCTGAATTTTGTTGAGTTAGAAACATTCCTTTAAAAAGTAACACCAAGGGGAGGATTGCCCCCCCAAGACCGCCCAAGGAGACATGCTCGGTCCCTGCGGAGTGCTGATGGACAAGGGGGTGGAGGTGGGTCAAGGAATGGGACACCAAGTAGAAGCTCCCTACGTTGCAACCTACTGTTGCAGGAGCCACTGGCTTTCTGCCGTTTGTTTTCCCCTGACCTGCAACTCAAAATTTCCTCAGGTTTAATTGGAGGCAACGGCTCGGGCAGCTTGAATTTCTCTTCCTCCCGTTCCTTTTCCAGCATGTTCTTGAGCTTCTTCTGCAAAGTGGGGAACCCCGCACCGGGATTGTGAGGATGGAGGGTTGAAAGTGAGAACCTGTCTCCTCTCGTCGACAGCCTTTGCAAAGAAGGGAACAAGGCCACAGCTTCCTGGAGCGAGATGCTGTTGTCCACGTTTAGCTGCCTGGGGCCGCTCCCCTTCCTGGATTCCCTGTTGGGCGGGAGGTTGTTATAAATGCTGTTTCTAGGAGCACTGGCGTTTCTGGCTGAGATGGTCTGCGTGGGGAAATCCATTCCACTGAAGGGTGTGCGATCTTTGGAAGGCTTCCGATCTGGAACACAACAGACACAACACAGGTGAGGAAGAGCAATTTTGCTTCACTGTGTGTTTGTTGGTTATCCAGTGAATCTGAGACATTTAATACACTGAGCTGGCTGGATAGCTTAGTGGTTTTGGTCTTTGGCTGTAGAGCCAGAGGCTGAGAGTTCGATTCCCCCACTGGGCCTCCTGTTGGTAGAGCCAGCCTATGTGGCCTTGGGCCAGCTGCACAATTCCCTTCCGCCAGAAGAAGGGAATGATAAACCTCTTCTAAGTACTCTCAACCTGTAGAACCCTGAAAAAAGTTGCCATAAGCCAGAACTGACTTGATGGTGCACGATTATTAATACATTGAGCAAGATCCTTCTCTAAACACAAGTAAACAAACACATAAGCAGAAATGGGGATTCGGGCAATTTCATGAAATGGCCTTTCCTACCGTAAATGATCCTTTTGGTTGGGAGTCGTAGGAAGCTCACGAAATTGGACAAGTGGTCACCAAACTGGCTGCAGGGCATGTCGATGGATTCTTTCCCAGACATCGGCCGCGTTTCCGTATTTTGATCTTGGCTAGGCTCGGGGTAGCTGGATGACTAGCAAGGAAAAAAGAGAGAGAGAATGATGTCTCATGACTTATTCATTTGCCTATTAGATTTCCGTCTTGCTTTTCACATGTCGAACTCGGAAAGGGCTTGCAGATGTCACTTGTTCCAGTGACATCTTGTTGTTCCACCTTTGTGGCATGCAAGTGGGAAAAATGAAAACTTCTAAAAATACAGTTGTGGTTTCTTGAGCATTCCTTGTGTGTCCCCAATGGCAATGGTCAATGGCACAAGGGGCCGTTCTACCATAACTCATCCTTCCTCAAGCATTTGTCTTACCAAATAATTTACAGCTGTTCACTGACCCTCCCGTCAGTTTGTAGGCTGATTTGGAGACTCTGGAAAGTATCCTGATTTGGTCAGGAACAGTTTTGGCTGTATCCCAGCCCCAGTTTGTGCCCTGGGTCCAAACTGATTGGTAAATCTCCCATGGATTTGGAAAATGGCTCTAAGTTTTTCATTTTTCACTCTGATGCACATAAAAGCTGGAGACATGGCAGACTCTAAAGAGGGGAGCCAAGCTGCCAGCTTTTAGGCAGACGAGATACATACAAGGCAGTGTTAAAAGTTTGCTTTTTAACACCCCTCTGATTCAGTTTGGGCTCTGGAGACAGATTGATCTGTTCATTGAGTTTGTTCACTCCAGAAACGGAATCTGGCCATTCCACTTCAAGTGAAAATAGTTTGAATCAGTAGATCCAGCTATTCCAAACTTGGGAGAGTTTGACCACATGTGCATTTGTCCTGCTGTTAGGGGTGAGCTTGTCCATTCCTTCTGGACACTTCCTCTTGGCAACCTTTAACTGTCAAAGCCAATGTGAATGACAGCCCAACAAAGTAATTCTTCCAAGCTCCAGGCAAGGGTAGGAAATCTTTGGCCCTCCAGGTCTTTTCAGACGTTAGCTCCCAGGGGTCCAGTCAGCAAGGCCAATGGTATAGCATTATGGGACCCATAGTTCAGAGCATCTGAAGGGCCAGAGATTCCTTGCCTCATTCTAGACAGCCCTCAAAATAGACCTAGCCAGTTGGGGAATTGCATGGGGGAAATTTACTGGTGCTATCTAAAGATGGACATCAACTGCCGGTTCAGCTGTTTGGGCCAGTATGTTTTTCGTCCAAACAAGTGTTCCCACCCCCTCCTCCTCTAGGGGGTGTCCACTCGGGGAAGTATCCTGCCTTCCTTGCCCCACCTCCTCCAGGCACGGCCTCTGATTGGGCACCCGCCAGAAGAGGTGAGGCTGCGAAGCGTCCAAATCTGTTTGGACAAAAAAAAATGAACCAGCCTGAACGTCTGAACCAGCAGTTCCTGCTCATCTCTAGTGTTTTCTTGGAAGGCCTGTAATTGGGCCGGGCTGTTTTAGGGACATTTATGGGAATGGAGTACAAGACCGGACACCATTTTGGGCTGATCCAGTTAGGCAGTTTTCGAACGTTCTTATCCTGCGTAACAGATGCCTACTCGTTATCACGATGCACTTTAAATGGAGTAGTTTTAGATGCTCATATGCATGCTTCCCCTTTTCATTGGCATCTGGTGGGCAAGCATGCTGTTCTTTAAAGGAGAGCTTCCTTTTCCCTTAAAAGAAAAAAAAAGAAAGATATCCACCAGGGAACACGAAAGACAGATGGCGAACAAGAGACAAATATTCCCCAAGGGATGCAATCCACTCCTTTAAGTAAAAATACAATCTGAGGGGGTTTAAAGGCTAGTGATGAGACCTTTTTCTGAATCAGTGAAGAGGATCTAGGTGTCTTCTCAACCACTGTTTTCACAGAATGCAAGCAATGTTTGGACAGGGTCCAAGGAAAGGGTGCGTCGGTTGATTTTAATTGGCACCTTCTACCACCTTGCCACATCCTAAAGTTGCTTTGAGAGGAAGCTGGGGAAAAAAACACAACAACAATGACCAGTTTTTGAAAAACCAATTCTTTATCTCCGCTCTGTCTCCAGATTCCCAGGAAAGAGATTTTAACATTTATTCAGTTGCTGCATAGCTTATGCCAAGTGATATTTATTGATCTGAGCTTGGGTTTGGGAATTCCCGGTTGGCGACCCCGCCAATCAGTATGGCGGTCTGCATGTGTACGGCTTGTGAAGTCAATGTTAACAGGATAGGAAACGCCCATCTCTCCAAGAGAGCAATCCCATCTTTAGGATACTGCTGACTTTGGCGTGATTCCGAATGTCCCCCAAGTATGCAGAGGTGGCCTTCTTGTTAGCTCAGTGGCTCAGAGACAGACCAGTGGCTCCAGATGCACTCTGAGATCCATAGGAGGAGTGGCGTTGGCTCCCAACATTAGGTGATACTATAGTGTGACCGAAATACAGAACCCAAAATTGGATGAAGGAGAGAGCCAGATACAATGTTTTGTTCCTCACTGCCAACTGGCTTTTCCAAAACGAACGCCTACCTTGTACTGCAATGATTTATAGGAGGAAGAAGGGGAGGCCCATGACTGTTTCCTGAACCACTTCTTCATTTTCCTTTCCTCCTGCTTGCGTATGTTCTCATTCATGATCTTCATGGAATCAAGGGAACGCCTAATCTTCTTCAGCTGGACAGAATAAAGAGAAGGAGACTGTGAATCTCAAGCTTACAACCTAAGGGGGGAAAAAAGCAAAATCATGAGCAGTAATTTTTGGTGATCCTACTCCACCTAAATGGAGCAACATGAGTAATGTACTGAGACTCAGGAGACCTGGGTTCAATTCCTTGCTCAACCATGGAAAATCACTGGGGGCGGCCAGGATAAAGCAAGTTCTTTTCTTCACTTATGGATCTTGCACTTAATGTGCTTTCTTTTATGATTGATCATTGGAAAGTTTAAAGCTGGTTTAAATTTGCAGGGCTGAGTGCTGAGGCACGGATCTGAGAAGATGCCGTTGTTGGAGAGAAAACAGAATGATGGTAGGGAATACACACTCGATGCCTAAGTATGACCCTAAGCAGCTCAGATAAAAGCAGACCTTTACCTCCAACTACCTTGCGACTTAAAATGGCATATAAATACAAGAGGTGCCACCTCCCATACCTGAAAAGCCTCCCGATCATTGGAGACCCTCAGTGCTTTGGCTCTTTTGTTATCAAGCCAATCCATGCTTCCTCTACTGGACAATGGGTTCCAGTTCCTTTCTGCCATGATTTCATTAGAGAAGATGCAAAGCCTCCCCTTATGGAGACCTTGCACCACAATGATACCCTACGCAGACCTTGGGTAAGAGCTGCATCGTTATTATGCCCAGTTCTTTCATGAGGTGCTATTAAAGCCCATGGCTGCCCATGATGGAGAAGCAACTACACATCACAAGAACCATGATGTAACAATCTGGGGCTATTCCGTGACTCCTGGGAGTGTTATCATGGCAACAAACCTGGAAACATTAAAAGGGGCTGTGGTTTCATTAGAAAAGCCCCAGAGTAAGAGGACCTAATCATAAAATCATAGAATAATTAAATCGGAAGGGGTCTATAAAGCCATGAAGTCCAACTCCCTACTCCATGTAGGAAATCAAAGTGGATCTGACAGTTCATGGATGATCTGAAAAATCTGCTTTCTTGTCTAGCCCTCCTGATGGTGGATCCTCGTTTTCTCTTGGGGTCTCCCATCTGGGTACTAACCGGGCTGGACTGTGCTTAGCTTCTCAAATCAGGTAGGATCTGGCATGCTCAGGGTGAGGAGGAAGGGATGATGGAAGAGGCATAGTTCCTTTTTCAGCCAACTCAAGCTGGATGGAAAAGGCTGTTTCCGTTTTTCAGACTGGCGTTAAATTAAACCAATAAATCTCTGGAAAGGTTGGAAAAATCATCCACCCGCAAACATTTCTCAAAAGGGTGGATGAAAGCCAATTTTTTTTTCTTCTTCCAAAAAAAAGTTCAAAACTACTAATCTAAGCCTCCGAGGGCTCTTTAGACATCTTAATAGCCTGATGAAACAAGGTAGTTTGGAGAGATTCACTTCCACTGGGATCAGGAGCTATTGGTGGTACTGGGTCAAAGTTAGAAATATTGGACAGAGAAGCGAACAAATGATTGAAAATTACAGGAGCTGGGCCGAAGGTTTAATGGCAAGACCTGTTTCTCTCTTTCTCTCCTAAAAGATTATATGGTTTGCCAGATACAAGTCTTAGGAGAGTCGGCAACGTAAATTTGCTGCTAAATGAGGCTCTAACCCCTTTCTACTAAAAAAGCTAACACCTTTGTTTATCTGTAAATGGACTCTATGTTGGCCGAGAGGTTCTCGGTTGTAACTTTTAAAAAGTAACTTTTGCAAGATTTGGAATGGGGTTGCAGAGAATTCTCACTACATTTCTCATCTGCTTAGATTCAGTCGGTCTCATTGTGGCACAACCCTTCACCAAGACCGTCATAGGTTGTGTGTCGGTTCTAAGAGCCGAATGGGGACTTCTTCAGGTTGTTGTCAAAGTCTCTGTGATAAACGCCTTTGTGTGCAATTAATATCTTTTCTCTTTGAGAAGCAAAGCCCACATCAGAGTAAGCACAGTAGGACTGGAGGATGCAAGCAACCCATCGAAAGCTTGCTCTTTAGGAAGTCTATGAAATGCAACAGCAACTTTTGAAGCTTTCTATGGATTGCATTATTTGCACAAAAATCATGCTTGCAAATTTTAGTCTGCAAAAAATGTGTCTCTTGCCGCCTTCTAGGTGAATAGATTTTTTTCATTCATAGTTTCATGAATGAGAAGATAATGAGGATTTACATACTGAATCTGGACTCCACAAGCTTCTAAGCAAGCCTTGCTCATCTTAGTACTCTCAAGGTGTGCTGACTTATAATTCTCATCAGCTCCAGCCAGCCCACCATGGAATAATCCATCAAGAGTTCTGAGAACCCGGGGCCATCATGTCTGATACCCATCCCTCTCTTTCTGTGATTGCTTCCAGCTTGCTTCTTTCCACAGCAATAAAGGAGGGATGTTTGAAAATGCACTGAGATTCACAGCTACATTTTCACACGCAATTACTTCAGGATCACTCCCCCGTGGCTGTTTTAGACATGTTACCGACAATTTCCTTTCACGATCACAAATAAAAATACGTGGGCCCCTTCATAAATTGTGCTTTCAATTAATTAGAGCGCTCCAGTGACTGATTGAGCTTTGTGCGAAGGAAGCTAAATGGAAAGAGAGGAAACCAAAGATTGGGTGAAAAGATTGCGATACAAATGTGTTGTTTTTTTCCTTCGGAATTTCTAAGAAAAGGAGGAAGAACCTAAGAGATGTTCTCATTTAGTCCATGATGCAATAGATATGGGCAAGGTGACAATCTGCAGGCAATCAGTGGTCTCATTGAATCAAGGGCCAAATAGTCAACTCTTAGTAAATCCTATTCATAGAATATGTCTACTCTAATTGAAGACTCCCAGCTGGGTTTAGATCTATGGGTTCCTCTACAGTAGACTGTAAAAAAGTCAATCCAGTGAATGAGCCATCAGCCTGTAATGTCCTTTCTATCTTTAAATCAATTTTGCTGCCAGTTTTTTTTCTTTTTGTGCTGCAGTATCTTATAATTTAATTTAGAAAAGGGAAAAAAATAAAAATAAAAATCAGCAGGGTGTCTCAGAACTTTGTTGGAAATTGAAGGCTATTTGTCTGAAGCAAACGTCTAGCTGAGACAGGAGCAGTGCAGCTTTCTCGATATGACTCCCTAGTGTGGCCTTAAAGCTGGCCGGGAGTTAAGAGATTCATTTTCTGGACTCGAACTGATCAAAGACTACCTATCGTGCTTAATTATCTGTGGGGTTTGGAAGGTCTAGGTGGCAACTAGGGACCCAAAAGAAGCTTTCTGACCTCCTTTTGTTTTACCTCCAGGACTAAGTGCCAGGAGCTTATATTGAGAACTGCTTCGCATGCAATAATTCCCTGGATCTCTGTGGATGCATTGCGACTAATTCATGACTTCACATGTAGTGGCAAAATCAGAGCGCAGGAGCTTTTTCTGCTGTGTTAAAATGGGAACGTTCAATTATTGCAGAAATCTAACCGGTTGATCTCTTAAGAAGGCTAACCGGTTGGTTAATTCGCCTATTGATTCAATGACCAAAATCCTGTTGCTTAGTGTAGTGAATCACACTAGAGTAGGCCCATTGAATCAATGGGGATTTGATGAGACAATTGCGCTATGTGTTTCAATGACTGCAATGAGCCTACTGTAACTGTGACTTACTATGCTAAAAAAAGTAGGCTTATTTGAATCAATGGTACTTAAGGCGCTGACTTGCTAAATCTCTCTTGATTCAATGGGCTTATTTAGTGTGACTTACTACACTAAGCAACAGGATTTGGGCCATTATATTATTAAATGTTAACGTACCACCTAGAATGGGTGGAAATAACCTTGAAGATATGGTCTAACGAGAAACAGAGAAATCATGTCATTCTGCTTTTAATGACGCAAATAACAAAATTGTAATGTGTTGCTAGGAATCTAATGAATCAGGGTACCAAATCTATTTTTTAACCAATTAATTTCCAAGCTTTGAATTGAGAGAGAGAGAGAGAGAGATAAACACCCAACTCATATCCTAAAATAAATGACTTGTCAGAAATGTGTGTGTTTGTGTAAGTAATCATTGTAAAGATACAGAAGCAACACATTGAAGCATGAAATGGATGCATCCGGCATTATTCCCTCCTTTCTGCCAGCTTCCACCTTTTCCTTCACCCTGTTTGTTATATTAAAAAAGTTTGTACGTGTACCATGTGTAAAAGTGTAGACAATTTCTTGTGACACAAGTTAGAGTCAAGCAGGCAATGCTTGTGGTTCTGTACGGAGGTAGGTGCTTAGAAGAGGAAAATCAGGACTTATTTTCAGGTGTTCTGTTTTGTTACATCCTCGTTGAGCTGGTGATGAACTGATGGAACAACCACAATCACTCCTGTTTGTTATATTAAAAGAGTTTGTACGCGTACCATGTGTAAGAGTGTAGACAGTTTCTTGTGACACAAGTTAGAGCCAAGCAGGCAATGCTTGTGGTTCTGTACGGAGGTAGGTGCTTAGAAGAGGAAAATCAGGACTTATTTTCAGGTGTTCTGTTTTGTTACATCCTCGTTGAGCTGGTGATGAACTGATGGAACAACCACAATCACTAACATCAACTCTGGACATTGACTTCAATGGGAGGTCAGTTGGATAGGGCCACGAGAGAGAAGGCGCCTCTGCATTAAACAATGGCATCCGTTTGAGACCTCCTTAGCGGCCATGGCTGCATCCAAGGGGTCTCTGAGACTTCTCCTTTGCTGAGCTGCTGTGGCTCACGATTGCACGGTGCAGGTGGCAATTGCACAATTGATTGTGTGATTCACACTGGGACTGTTGTGTGACGTGCCTGTGGAAGGCCTGCCCAGGACATTGCTTCTGCCCTACCATGATTTCTTCTACAATTTCCAAGCTTTCTTAACACCCACATAATTGAACAATGGAATTTCAGCCATTGATGGGATGTCTTGTCTGTCTACTATGGTATTTTTCTGTGTATAAGACACCCCCCACACTCTGTGGGGATTAGCAAGTGTAGGGGGAGAGGGATCAAAGGATGGCTTTGATCCCTGCTTTCCCCTCCACTTGGTTTTATTTTCTCCTCAGTTTACTTCCGTGTATAAGACGACCCTCAATTTTTAGTCTAAAGATTTTAGACAAAAGTATAGTCTTATACACAGAAAAATACGATGTGTATTCTATAGTACGTGAACTCTTAATTATTGCAGAATTTTGATTATCCAGATTTATCCCCTCTTCCTTTCGACAGTCCCATATGGCCTTTTAGCCAAACTTCCAGTTACTTCCTTCTTCTTCGTCGTCGTCTTCGTCGTCTTCTTTCTTTCTTTTTAAATATGCCCTCATGCTGTCCTGCTGAATGAGATTGTGCTGTTACCAGCATGCGTTTTGGGAGCAAAACTCCAATTTACTTGGTCAGGGTCCTTTCATGGCAGGTTTCGAAGGCTGTGGTTACCATAGGAACAAAAGTTAGTTACCTAAGTGACAGCGCTCTTCTGATGTCATCAGAAGAGAAAGTGTTCCAGGAAACACCCTTGAACTTCGTACATAACAACGTTGTTCAGGTGCGGAACACTCGGGGTGTAAAAATGCATGTGTTTTCTCTCTAGATGACAAACACTTAGTTTTGCTTCATGACAATGAGACACCCCTGCACTTTTTCCAAAGGATGTTTTTCTAGAACAAAAACATTGACAACCGTAAGCTGGTGATACTTTGAACTTTTGTTCCAGTGGGCTTATCAAGAGATCTGAATACACAACATGAGCAAACTAGAAAAAGAACATGGGCCTGTA